ATAGTCCACCACCCCGTCAGGGAAGACGAGTAAATTTTGTCGGGGAATAAACAAATAAAAAAATATTTACATGTAATGTTAGTTTAGCACCATATTGTTTTCATTCAACTATGAACAACAACAACAACATTTATAATAATGATAATAATTATGATAATAATAATAATAATAATAATAATAATAATAATAATAATAATAATAATAATAATAATAATAATAATAATAATAATAATAGTTCAATGAGACAAATTAAAAATAATTTGCGATCTGTTATGACAAAATGCTCGTTTGGATAGCCTCATGGTGCTTGGAATACATTGTGATAGGTAAAACAACCTCGACCATGACAGCGTGGTTGACAGATTTCATGCAAAATTTCCAAATATAGAATTTCACTGAAACATAAATAAATGGATAATTAAAAAAAACCAGCAACATGAACACGGGGATGAACAGCAGTTTGTGCCGTGGGTATTCTTCCCTTGTCATCAGGTAAAGTGTAAAGTGTTTGTTTTTACCTCTTTTCTTGCCACACTAATTATTGTGTCGAATGACAAGGTATTCATTGTTGAATAAAACGTCACTAAATGAGCATTTACCTTAGGAAGCAGATCATGCATTCCATTATTGATGTGACCTTTTCCTCGTGGGTAGAAGAAGACTGTTCGGTATTTCTCACCAGGTTTCATACTTGATTGGCTAGCGAATATTACCTCCGTCAAATTTGCATCATTGTATTTTTTTCCATACATTTTTTTCCTGAGAGAGACGGTATTAATAATCATCCATTTATTTATCAAATTTATTATGTGATCACCTTCATCTTTATCATCATTTATATCATTGTCATTATATAATAATGATATTTTCGGTCAGGAGTTTTGGAAAGGTTTACCATAATAGGTCTACACATAATTTTTTAGATTTTGTTGAAATAAACCTATTATTTATTTTGTAGTTTAGAATGCTGTATCATATTCTTATTAGGTCAGGCATGATTTTACTTTGAATATTAAATAATTATTACTAATACCAATATTATTATCAATATGGTTAATGGTTTACTTATAATACATGAAATATATGCTGTAATTGAGTTTATTGTTAATTCCATGTCTGTTTTATTTTTAAGTTGAACTAACATATACTGGTTGCGATGGAAGCCTGTGATTGAGCACGGAGCTAGGTCTCATGAAGCAGAGGTTTTCATCGCAACTAATACAAACATGTGTAAATATAAACAATTATTACAAATAAGGAAAAAGAAATAGAAAGAAGAAAGAAGGAAAAAAGAAGAAAAAACATAAATACTCCAATAATGGAACAATAATGTAATTATTTATTTCTACAGTAACTTTAATTAATCATGCAACTACTTCAATTATTATTTTATATTCACTTATTTGCTTATTTATATTTTTCTTTTATTTTTATTTAGGAGAGCATGAGTTTTTTGCCTATTTTGCTTACCCCTTTTTAATTTTTTATGATGCATACACTGATTTGTTTACCTAATTGACATAACTTAATTATTTCGACTGTATGTTATAATACCTAATGTTAATTTTCTTTAATTGTATGTTGAGTTGATTTTGAAATAAATGATTAAAATGAATGAATGAATAAGAATTTATATTTATGTTTATACAGAAACCAGAAGGAACTATTTAAAATGTACTTTGCCAGTTACAATGTATTAATGAGTCAAATGAGTTGAATTAGAATTGTAAATTCATTATAATTTATCATTATTATTATTATTATTATTATTATTATTATTATTATTATTATTACTATTATTGTTATCATCATAATCATTCTCATTTATATATACCATTATCATCAAAATCAAAATAATCATTATTATTGTAAGTAAACCTATAGGCCTAATCCATAACGAATATCAGAATAGCCTGACTTATACATTATCTTTCTTTAATTTTTAGAATATGTTTTACTTTACGTACCTAAGGTCTACAAGATTTGACTGATTTTTCGCCCACGGTTTTAACAGCAATTCAAGCAATTCACTCAGGTCCACAGATTCATGAGTCAGTGATTCGATCATTATAGATTTGTTTTGCGCATGCCTAAGACCTATCGGTGTCGAGTAAATTTGTCGCTCGCCATTCCTCGAGGACGTTAGAATTCTGCACATGATTAAAAAAACGATACAGTGATTTTAACAATCATAAATCAGGGTCCCCGTGACCATTTTTCGGAGACCAAGGTTTCTCTACTGATTTAACATCACTAGGCTAGGGTATAAATAAAAAATTGAGCGGAAGGAACCTCCAGAAAAAGGGGCGGCCATTTTAAAAATTTAGATATAGGCTCTTAACTTTACTTATATTCAATGAAAAAGCGTAAACCTGGTGTCTAATTAATGTTATTGGGGTCACTGAATCCAATAAGACATGTTTCAAAAGATTAGAATGGCAGCCATTTTGAATTTCAAGATGGCCGCTTTAAAAATCGAATATTTCAGTATACTTCCAATTCTCCTCTATGAAAAATGGTAAATATGGGTCTAATCATATATTATTGATTCCAATAAACATAGTCTCAAAACGCTAGGATGGCAGCCATTTCGAAATTCAAGATAGCCGCCAAAAAAACCTTCAAAAATGAAATTGGTGTATAACATTTGAGTAGACACCAAATTTGGCATTTTTAATCGAGGAGAAGTGGAATTACATACCAATATTTTCAATTTTTTAAGGTTTTTTTTTTTTTGGCGGCTATCTTGAATTTTAAAATGGCTGCCATCCTAGCTTTTTGAAACTATGTTTATTGGACTAAGACCAATAACATATAAGACTCAAATTTACTATTTTTCATAGAGAAGTGGAATTTTACTGAAATCTTCGATTTTGGTTCATTTTTACAGCGGCCATCTTGAATTTCAAAATGGCTGCTAGGCTTTCACATGTCTTATTGGATTCAGTGACAACCCAATAACATATAGGCCCTACTAAGACACCAACTTTTTCATTGAATATAAGGAAAGTTATCAGGCGAAGGCGTTCGAAAAATGAAATGATTATATGTTGGTGCCGATAGATATGCGCCCTTCAAAGCAAAACGTCGCTACGGAAGCTTAAAGTGACTTCCCAGATGTTCAGATGACGAGATCCAGGATCTTGTCATCTGATCATCTTTTCTAAAGGATGTACACATGACCAGATCTAGGATCTCGTCATGTAATCATCTCTTCTAAAAGATGTACACATCACGAGATAGTTATCTAAACATCTGGATGGCACTTTTAAGCTTCCGTAGATTGGCCACCAAAATTTAATCACCTCGTCCTTGGGTGATACCAAACAATCACTGGTATTTAAACCAGTGCAGCTGTTTTTGAGGTATTTTGTACAAAAGAAACACACAGGACCTCAACAATTTAAATGACCCTCAAGTTCACCCCCTATTGGAAGTGACCAGCGCTTGATAATTTATTCCTTTATTTATTTATGTCAGTTGATTAGTTTTTGAGATATCTTGTCTAGGACAAAATCCTTTAAATGGTCCTCACACCCACGCCCTAATCCGGACAGTTACCACAATTTAATCACCTCATCCTTGTTTTGGTCATACCTAACAATCCCTGTAACTGGAATTTACACATATGCAGCCGTTTTTGAGATATTTTGTACACAAGAAAAAAAAAATGAAACAGCAAAGCGTTACACACACACACCCACACCCACACACACACACACACACACACACACACACAAACGAAAACATATATCTCCTGGCGGAGATAATAATAATTATAGTAATAATAATGACGATAATAATAATAATAATAATAATAATAATAATAATAATAATTATCAATAGTAATATTAATAGTGATAGTATTAATAATAGTAGTAATAATAATAATAATAATAATAATAGTAATAATAATAATAATAATAAATAATAATGATAATAATGATAATAATGATAATAATGATAATAATGATAATAATGATAATAATGATAATAATAATAATAATAATAATAATAATAATAATAATAATAATAATAATAATAATAATAATAATAAATTTTATCACAATGAATCAAATACAGTTTTTTGCTTACGTTTTGAATGAAAATTTGTAAATGCCGAAAAAAATTATTGTTAAAACTAACAAATACGTTTTAACAGACTTAATCAACAGTTTCCTTCTCAATGCTCTGATGAAACTTAGGCCTAACATGTTCCTGAAACAAAAAAGATATCATTTATACTTATAATAATCTGGCATTTGCATTATAAAATTGCAGAACGCCTATTGGCTTTCTACACAAATTGAAACGCTCATGTTATTGTTTTAAATATATTAAACAAAGGAGGGAGAAATGTATCCACTTGAAACATGCTAATGCTAAAATACACTTCTAAAATTTTACCAACAATGATCGAGTGAATGAAGGTGTGCCACATCTAAATAGCAGTAAAAAGGAGGAAATGTTTTTATAGTTAGTAATCGTTTCAGACAGATTGACATGCAGTTACATTCTTTGTGTACATAAGAAAAATCAGAACTTTGTCTTGATCGCCCGAATCCTACCACGAAAAGGGCCATCATTAGCATCCCGAGCCCTGTTTAGCGTGACTGTTCAGATTTTAAAGCCTTAGTTCACACACATATAAGGCTGGCGTAAGTCTGACGTAGTGTACGCCTTTGTGTGTGAACTAGGCAGTGGCGTTACTTACGTCACTCACGACGCCACCTCCGACCCCAACGCTACCGTACCTGCATATGGAACGCCAAAAGGACAAAATACAATTGGTAGCAGTGCAAAACTGAGTCAGCAGTGCAAAACTGAGAGTCAGCAGCGCAAAACTGAGAGTCACCAGTGCAAAACTGAGAGTCACCAGTGCAAAAACACAGAGTCAGTGCAAAACTGATTAGTGCAAAACACAGAGTCACAGTGCAAAACTGAGAGTCCCAGTGCAAAACACAGAGTCAGCAGTGCAAAATTGAGAGTCACAGTACAAAACACAGAGTCACAGTGCAAAACCGAGAGTCACAGTGCAAAAGTGAGAGTCACAGTGCAGAACTGAGAGTCACAGTGCAAAATTGAGAGTCACAGTGCAAAACTGAGAGTCACAGTGCAAAACTGAGAGTCACAGTGTAAAACATTGGTGCCAATGCAAAACTCCAATGGCAGTGCACTCAAGTGGACGCCCTCTATTTTGAATTAAAGTTTCACAGCCTTTGGACGGTGTCAACAAGTAAAATAGATGAAATTTTGAGGTCACTTGGGCACTCCTTAGTGACCATTGACAATTTTGAAAGGGGGTGGGGGTGGTGGTGCGTATAAGCGTTACAATTAATACAAAAATTAAGTGCTTGAAATAATTAATAAACAGTGGGCTATGAAAAAGGCTAGTAGTCCCGGGCTTGTCAAAAAACAAGGCCTAAGTCTAGATATACACCTAAATGCCTCGACTTCGTCGGCTTCTCAAGAAACATTGTTTTCCTAAATAAATCTCACTTAACTGTCAAAATTTTCTGCTTTTTTGTCATTTCTGTTGTCTTTTTTGATCCCCAACTGTTTATCTTTTTTAAAAAAATATTTTGATTGCGCCTTGTATGTATTCCTTGGCAAAAGGCCCGTAGGCAGGATTTTCGATGGGGAGGTGCGTTTTACAACCGGAGTGGACCTTACGATGGGCGACTGCCTAGGGATCCCTGCGAGGGTGGGGTGAATCTTCTGGAAGCTCTGACAAATTAGCATTTTAAGGGCCCTTTTTAATGGATTTCTAAAATCCATAATTTGTAATATCCTATTTCAATTTTCATTCATTTGAGTATTGTCTAGGGACCTACAGTAAAGCAGGAAAAATAGAGGGTGGGGGTGAAGGGAGGAACTTGCACCGACAGGTGGTCAATACCACCTTAGCCCACCATGGTTGCGGCTTAGGTAAGAAAATTTATGATTATGGCACCTCAAAATGGCCGGAAATGGCATTCTCAGACAAACTTTAATTAGGCCTATGATTTTTCTTTTTTCTCCATTTCTTTTATAATTTTAGGGGTCTCTCCCCCCACATTTGAATCCACCACTGTGGAATTGTATTTTTTCATGATCTTTACATCTGTAGGCCTAAAGATGACATGGATCAATCTGCAATCACTGGAGCTGATAATTTC